GAATCAATTCGATAATAATTGGCTCTAATTGAAAATTCCGGTTCGCGATAATACGATTGTTCCTGGTCTTGGTGCGCCTTCACCGACAATTTCGGGGCTCGCTCGCGGAATGTGTACCACCCAATCGCCGCGACCGCTTTCGAATTCGTTACGCCAATAATTTCAAGATTGTCTCTTGCTGCAGTCCGATCCCTCATTTTGGCCTACTGGGAGGGTAGAGGAGAATGCATGGGGGATCGTAGCCGAAAAGTTATAAAATGAAATAAATTATATTAGGATGGAGGAGAGAGTTCCTCATATCACACGATTTCTCCGAGGCTTAGATTGAATCCTTTCGCGGGATCGTTTCGCTTGAAAGGGAATCGTCTCGAGGTTTTCATCCGCCTGTTCCTCTGGATCAGGGCTTGCAGGGTCTTTCAGGCTTTCGTGCAAGGCCTTGCAGGATAACTCCGGTCGTGGGGGGGATGAACTTGGGTTCCCGAAGTAGAAATTTTGTGACGCTCCCCCCAGGGGCTTGAACTTTGGTCTCACGGTATGGAGTTCCGATGGAGAGGAGCACTGATCTTCTTAGCCTACCTCCAGAGCCCGCCGCTTTCACCCAATCGAGCATGAACCGTAGAATGCCAATAACTTGGGATGGGCTCATGAAGTCTACAGATAGGTCGTCTATTCTGGTAAAGAAGCAATAATTGAAGGTCTCCTACATGAACGTCGCATCAGCGAGGTGCGGTGACGGCCTTTCCCGAAATGAATCGCCAAAAGCTCAGGTCCGTGGCCCCAGAACTTGAACTTCGTGAAGTAGACGCGCCGTGCCCAGATCGGGCAAATACTTCATAATGATAATGAAGGAGGAGGAAAGGTGGTTCTAGTGTCTCATAGCGATCATGGTTTTAACACTTACATCCCGGGCTTACATCGCTTCCGATACAGATCCCGATAGTTTTTCCGGATGACCATGGCGAGTGGTGAAGAAGAATTATACGTGGAGTCTTTCATCCAGAGGGATCCAATCTACCACCAAATCGACAGAGGAGGGACTTTCAACGCTGGGACCGCCCTGGACTTCAACCTCTACTTGTGGGACAGCGCAATTTCCTGTCATGGGTCTCGGTCTCGAGGTCTATTGTCTGCGTGGTCGAGAAAAGGAAGACTGGGAATCGTCGGATATGTGTATACGGGTCCGCGGATCCTTGAGCTCCGGCTATCAGGGCAAAAGGGCACTTGAAGGGGTATGCACGACTTCGCTTGTACCATGCCAGTCAGAGCGCTTCCGCTTGTATTTTTCCCTGTGAGCGTAGTATGTACTGGAGCGAGCGAGCATGCCCCCGCCGGCCAGGCCTCTGCGATGCATTATTGAGATTGTTGTGAGCAGTAAATACCGACGTTCCTCGGTCCATTGCATCGGAGCTGGAGCAGCTTGAATGTATTCCTGCCTCCACAGAATCCACAGATCTCGAGATTCGTCAATTCCCTAATACGGTGAAGGATCGGGGGGGGAGGGGGAGGGGGCGCGCTCGATTGGATAGAAATCCAGTGAAGCCTTTTCGTCGGTTTCCTCTCTTGTTATCGCCGGTACGATCTTGAAGATGGCGTATTACGGAAAGATTCTTTGATATCACTGGAGACCGTGAATTTTGGTTATTGTCCAGATTGATGAAGAGAAGCGTCATTTTAGTGCCCAATGGCTGCCATGCACACTACTTAGTCTAAATAAATGACGCGCGAAATTAAAAATAGCGCGCTGAGCAGACTGGGGAAGGCTCGAACCAACGATAACGAAATCTGCCTCTGGAAATAATTCGAATCTTGAGGTAAATTTCCGTCAGTAAACAATATTGCTATCTATATTCTCTCCTCGACATTGTGGAAAACCTTCTACGTAGACCCCTCTCCCACTGGTTCACTGAGAACTATTAGGAGGTGCGTGAGTGGAAGACCGTAAGCGTCACACGTTGTATCTCCATACTGGTGCGGCCCGATGGCGAAATATCTCTCTGACCTCATGGAAGACGAGGGAGACTACCGCGAGGGTTGAGACTTGAGAGTACGAAGAGAAATTGACCGGGGAAAGAAGTATTCCCTCACGTCTTCCAGGGACGGTATGCGATTCGCTGTGGATGGTCGATAAGTGCTCCGGACCATGGCTGGCTGGGAAGACCTGTCGATTCGATGGGAAAAGCTTCCGCTCCCCGGCGCCACTATCGCAAGCGATCCATAACGCTCCAAGGAGAACGGCGACGACTTACAAATATGGGGAACTATTCCCGCTAATGTATTCCGACCAGATGATCGATCGTCGACCGTTCCGAGCTCGGAAGGCGCGACCATTCGCTGAATCAGAGCTGGAGCCTTCCCTGCAAAAACGTTTCCAGTTTACAATGTTTTCCTTCATGACTAGTTTTTTAATTCATCAGTGATATTCATATTCGCATCTCCAGGTGGATTGAGACCCATGTTCATAATAATACATGATAGGCCGTTTAATCCTGAAGGAAGAACTTGACATGATTGGAGATCGAGCGTACAGTTTTTCATGATGTCTCGATCTTCGCAGAGTGATGTTGCTCGTAGGCGTTTCGCGTCGCGTCCGAAAAACATATCCCTCGCCCTCATCTCCGCCCCGTGACTCGGGAAGTCGCACTCTTTTCAGGAGTGCGAATAACGCAGTGCTCAATGTGGAAATAGAAATCGAGTAAACCCAGGGATTCCATCGATTCTGTGATGAATGCTGCCTTCTCCCAGGAGCGCAACTCTTCAATCGGAGCGTCGCGATTATTCGTGAGGACTTCAGGCGTGTCGAGATCCCTGAATGGGCACTTACATACGATATGACTCCGTGGGATCGGATTTCTATATGATAGTTCCCTCTGATCAATGCCCTTGGTTGTCCTTCCCCATTGTCCCCCGGAGACGCGAGTGGGAGACCCCGAAAGAGCCCGGAATAGGTCCACGGAGGCTCTTCGAGCATCACCCACATTCTCTACACTGCGAAGCATTGTCCGACACATGTTTTTGTCACAGACTCCGGAACCGGTGGTTACTTGACGAGCTGCTGTTCGATTCAGACAGCTGATTTTGGGACGACTCAGGACAGTAGCTCCTGCTTGCCCGGTCCTCCACCGGGAGAGTTCTTCCCCAGGGCGATCCCTCTTGACACGATATATCCAGAATAGAGGAGACAGCCGGCGAGGACACCATAAAGAATCACCATGAGGGGCACGAAATTCTCTTTCAATGTCCATAGCACATTAATTGCGCTATACTTCATAGCAGGGCACTTCGATGCTGGATGACTAACTCGTTACCACGTTCGAGCGAATTTCCTGTGCCGATAGCTCGGCGATCGGCGGAACGTGTCCTCCAGTAGACTATGCATCAGAATGGAGAGTCGCTCGGACCATCCGACCAGCTGTGATTCGACGCCGATCGGCTTCTAAGGAAAGCGACCCACATTCTATGTCGCGGCTGCTACGAAGTAAACACCGATTCTTTCTGGAATATGGAAGCTCTTTGGAATCATCCTCGATGCGTGGGAGGCGACCTTCGTTCCACGAGGACCCCGGAATATTCAGTCAATTCAACAGAACCCGTAGCGCGACCGATGATCTCTCGGACTCATTTCGGTTGAGCTCGCTTGTTGGCACTACGATCTCGAAAGTCTCTGCTCTATTTGAGAGGCTGAAAAGTATACGAGGCTGGAATTCCTTCATCCATGCGTTATCGGAGAGATGTGCGACCATCTGCGACCCGCCGCCCGAGTTTTAGAATCGATGCAATATTCATCTCTTCGCTGTGGAGATTGTCAACGAAGACCACAAAGCTGCATGCAGGCCCGCATTCACGCACTTCTTGGGATCCGGAGATAGGACTCATCAGAGAAACCATAAAAGGGACCACAGCGAAGGAATCCATTGCGATGAGAGAAGCTCGGAAGAAGACTGTACGTATGGAACACGCGCGAACAGCTCATAAAGACGACCGCGATCTCTCCCAAGCGGGAATATCGTCGTGACGATTCATTTGACGCTAGACAAAGTGAAGCAGACGTTCCTTGACACTCACGATGACACGCAGCACCTTAATTGATTATCGATCTCCGTTAATTTCTCGATAAATCATCCATATCGAGTCCATCACTCGACAGCCGTGACCGAGCATGAGGCTGACCCATCCAGTCGAGAAATCCCCTGACGCGGGGAGAATGCCGATAGATACGAACGGTGGCACGATATATAAAGATCTGTTTGCGGTCATGTTTGATCGGAGTCTGTATTCAATGTGAGACTTGACATGCACGAGATCGCATCGAAGTTGGCTTTGGCTTGCGGAAAACCATTCAAAGGGTCAACGGGTTGACACGTCCAGCCAGTTATCCGCGAGAACTGCTCTTGCTTCGGGCACAGCCTGCTTCTTCTCTATGACAGGGTGTCGTGTCGTGAGAACCTTCCCCGGGCTTCCAACGGACATTCCGCCTGCTCCGTCTGAGAGCGGTCCCAAGCGTGACCACACCCAGCAAGTTTCGCTTCCTGCGGTAGGTCATCTATCTCACAGAAAGGGATTCTTTTCCGATTATGAGGAGATGAATCGCCTTTGAATGGCAGGTTGAGAGCGTAGATAGGCTTGGAGCGGCATCAACCGACTTATGGAACCGGACAACCTCCCTCGGCCGTGAGGGAGACAAACGCAGGGATTTTGTGTAACTGCTCCCAGACGGATCGGGAATCCTTGGGGACTTGACCTGTCATGATCTACCCGACTGGATTTCTGAGCTCGCGCGTCTGTTCTCTCTCCAATCTTCGCCTCCCATGCACCCACTCGGACGATATTGCGGTTCATTTTCAAATTTGGCGGATCATCAAAGATACGGTTATCGGAAGGGACTCATCATCTGTATTCCACGACCTACATCCAACTAATCTGGCAACTCCGAGTGTACATCGACGGAACCCAACCGAGATTCCACCCGAAAGCAGGTGGACCGATTCGGGGACCATCGGATATCAAGCGTTGTCCTCGATTATGGACTCCGAGCATTTCTGAGCGATCCCGTACAGGGTTGCGATGTTGTGTCCCGAGAGCGGTTCCGGCAAGACACTCGCATCAGAGACTCTCAGATTCGGTATTCCGCACACTCTGGAATCAGATAGAAATCGTCCGTTATATCCCGTGAGATCCAGCCGCCATCGAAGGAATGGAATGCCGAAGAAGTCTCCGGACCTCCGGGATCGTATGATAGGGATTTTTTCCTCGTGCGTTTGCTTCTACCACGGGCGCGGAACTAACCTGCATCGGTTGTCGACAACTGCCAATTCGTCGCTGCAGTCCCCAATACGAGCCGTGCCTCCCATGTGCCAGGTGGTGGATGTCATTTTCTGGATGTAGCACTTTTGGTAGGCCAGTTCCTCATTTGTCACGCTGTTTTCCAAGCAGGAATCCACGTTCGCTCCCGTTTGTGAAATACAGTCCTGATACTTCTGGTAAATGTCGTTCGGATCCGCGTCGCCCACCCACGCGTCGAATTCCTCTTGGCAGCCGACGAGCGCCTTGTTCGGCAAAAGACCTCCATCCTTTGCGTAAGCCTAGAGTAGAAGATGGATTCTTGGTTTCCGTCCCGATCAAGCATTTCGAAATACGTGGACATCGCGGTTTCGTTGGGAGCGGTTTATGCGGCCCGAACGGGTTAGAGCAAACGTGATACTTGAACTCACAGTATAGAGGATACGGACGAGCTTTACATTCGCCAGCGCGATTGCTTCGAGCTCGGACGGATACGATAAGTAGGCGTAATTGATGCGCGTCTCACCGGAGCGTATAGTCACAGTCCCCCGAGTCTCGGGGTGGAGCAGAGTCGCGGAGGCGAATACGGAAGGATTCGGAAAGAATCTGGTGCCGCCGTAGGTGTTGAGGTAATAATCCTCCCAGATCTGTCCATGAATCGTCAGAGATGGAATTCTCGGGGGCGACATTCCGAAACATCGCTCCGATCCACGTCAAGAGTCAAGAGCATCGAACTCATCAAAATTTCGCCAGCGGGCGCGAGTATCAACAATGAGACTCACTTCCTCTCGAAGTCCGTTGCCGTTCAGTAATACACGTCTGGCGCTATCGGAAGCTGCGGATTGATAATACAGGATGTATTCGATGTTTGGACGATCTTCTGAAGATTCGACGACATCGCTCCTGCAAATCAGCGGATTCGAGATTGAACCGGAATCGAATCTTCAGCTTGGGAGTCGCTCATGAGAGCCTCACGGTGCGCCTCACGGAAACCCTGCGGGAAGCTCTCGCGGAAGCGTCGTGAGAAATCCTATGGATAACCTGGGACGGGAGATCTCCAGAAGGAGGAGGCTGACAATGATACGGGCGTTCTTCGTCCACGTCAAGTTCACAGTTCGCACTCAAAGTGCAACACCTGTCAGTGGGACCACTGCCATCTGCCGGTATATTGACCGTATGCAGCCATTCCCTTCAGGCTCCCTTAGGTCTCATACCTCACGGTATCGAAACCGATCGCCGTGACGGAGTTGTCGGACCTCCAACGACCTTTCCCCTCGACGAATGCTCCGACGACCTGCTTGATGGATAAATCACTGAAGTTCTTCCCCTGCGTGAAAGTCACAGGGAACGGCATCGAAGCCTGATGATTGTGGAGGTTCTTTCCGACACCTTCGACTGCCAGGACCTCATCGACCTGGAAAGGGAAGGTCCATCCTAAGATTAATTCTTTTTCAAGGAAGAACATCTATCATGTTTATCATATCTTATACAGATTCGATAGTTGGACATAAGAGCCTGATTGCTCACCCCCATGACCTCCAGTTCGCTCTTCGGACCAACTCCTGACTTCAGCAGCACTGTTGGAGTTCCGTAAAACCCAGCCGTCACGATTATTTCTTTGCTCGCCATGAAAGTTCTCAGCTCTGAATCCTGTTCGACTGTGACGCTCGAAGCCCGAATATCCCCTCTCGAGCCGGAGAATCCAATCTTGAATCAAGAAAATGGGAAATACAGTCATGGGACAGCATCTGGCTGGTGTTCCCCATAGGATGCGTCTCTCGCGCCTCCGAGTCCGAAGCAAGCATCAGGCGGAATATCGGCGAGCAGATAAGCGAAGTGAGAAATAGAGAACCTTCTGCGCTTCCGCTCTCAAGATTATGTGCAGCCTCTCGTTCCTGGGGTCATTCTCATTGTTCCTTATCGGATAGATGAAGCGTCGTCCGGCGTGACCAACGTAACCGTTCTCTTGTACCGCGAACTGCATTCTCGCGAAACCTTCCTGATTGCTGTTGTGATCCTCGAGAACCTGTGACGAGACAACGTCTCAGCTCAGACGCGACAGAGACGCGAGGGTCGCGAATGATCAACGGACTCAGTCAGCACAACGAATTCTATAGTTCGATTTCGATATGCCATTTGTTTCGGGAAATTTCTCCCACACCCAATCACTTGCCTTGGAGTTAGTGACTTGAGCTCCGGCTTCGAGGAAGCTGTCGACGATCCCTTCTATTTCGTCCTGGGAAGCGATGCTCACCGATATCTGTTCGGCATTCGGATCCTTCTCGAGCGAATGGAGGCTGGCTGCAATCAACGTTTTCGAGGTCGCGCCGATTCACTCGAGAATGATTATCCCTTTGCGATTGGAGTCAGCCAATAAGGATCCCGAACTTACCGTCAGGTTCGAAACCATCGTAGCCGTTCTGGTATGCGCTCCGTTTCATCGCGGCAAGCATCGATTCGTAATTCCAGCCTGTCGCCCCGTACTTGCTTTCGTAGAGATCGTAGTCCGTGTCAAACCCTCGCGAGTAAATCTGCCAGTTTATCATCGAGGTTCCTCCGAGACCTTTACCCCCACCTTCGTAAGAAGTCTGCAAAGGAGGAATTCGATCGATTGCCAGAGCGACAAGGAATGTTGGACATCCGATCCGAAAGGAAATGAAAGACTCACCCTCTCCATGTTCGCATCGGTGTACTCATGGCTGTTTGGTTGCGGGGTGGTGCGCAAGTGCCAATTCATGCCGAAATGATCATCGTTGATGTTCAGAGAATTTATGTAGGGGAATATATTTAGATAGTTGTTCGCTTCTCCGGCCTCGATGAGCAGCACCGTCCCGTTGGTGTTCGAGACGAGGCGGTTTGCCACCATGGCACCGGTGGTGCCTCCTCCGACTGTTCGTGCGAGAGAAAGTGCATCAAGTTACGCGGAACAAGACAAGAATCGGTCATTCGGGTCTGAGAGGATTTGGGCCTGAATTTCCGAGATGAGAGATTTCGCTGCTCACCTACGATGTAGTCATACGTGCTGAGCAGATTCGTCGTTTCATAGGCCGAGGGACTCAGCTGGAACTGACGGGGTGTGCCGATCAAGAGGAAGATGGCGATTCTGATCGCCAAGTCAGCGATCACGACGAATTGAGGGCCAGTTAGGATTTGAAACGTATTGGCGATGAAATCGAAGGGCGGCAGATAGTCTGGCGAAAGTCGATAGACCACATCCTCGACAGTCCGGACCGCACCGAGGAAAATCCCGGCCATAGCATAGAAAGGTGCGAAATGTTTTCGGGGAATATTCTCCCACAAGGAATATCACAAAACTTCAACCAAAGCCGGAAGCGTTCCTCCTCCCATGGGCAAATTCGGAGAGGCGCAGCTGCCGGTCAACGGATCGAATGTTTCTGAGAATCATTTGTGGCAAATTACGTCATCAGATAATCACACGCTCGTCCGAATCGCTGAGTAGCACGGAACGGAGTCTGTTGGAACTGATTGCCATGCGTTCTATGGTTGGAATCTCTTCGTCGCGTCGCGGCGACAGTCACGCGCTACTCAGAGCAAGGGCCCTCGAGCGAATGGGGCTCTTAGCAGAAGATCCAGGATGGTAATTCACACACGCCCCGTGCAGCGTCGCCTGGCCGATTCGATGTGGTAATCTTGGGAGTCCGAGATTTCCGAGCGCCTATAATTGACTACGCAAGTCTTATGTGATCCGCTCCCCCGGCAGGGCGGGGAGCTGCGGGGGACGACCTTGAAGTACCATCCTCGGATGCAAGCGCGAATTTTGGCACGCGGATGGATACACAGGGAGACCCGATAGTCAACCCGAGGGATGACACCACGCATAGTTCATTACCTTCAATTCGGTACGTTGAAAGAGACGGGTCTGTGTTTCAAACCAGCTTCGTCGACTCCTTAGAGGATCTTCCGAAGATCGAATAGGGTCAGCAGTGTTGGTATCTCTCAGGCAGTGGCGGATCTAGGGGGGGGGGCAGAGGGGCTATTGCCCCCGGGCGCGAGGGCCGAGCCTCTGGCAGGGGGCGCAGAATCGAGGTTTCATGCTCTACGATTTGTAATGTATATCTACGCGTTTCGCTCAAGATTTTGGCGCCCGATTTGGCTCGAGCCTGGCTCCCCGTGAGCGTGGGACTTGGAATCGGCGCCCCTGCATATTCGAAAGTTTCCTCTCCTCCTCGAGAGTGCGATGGCGGTGAGCTCTTCCGGGAGATTATGGACTGCAGAATGTTGCTTGGCACTGGAAGCGAGGTGTGTCCGAAGAAACCCGAAGAAGTCCTCGAGTTCATTGCTCAATACGGTAACGCCAGTGTGTTCCCTAATTTGAGTGTGTCCATCCAGATTCTTCTGACGGTGGCGGTCTCCATGGCGAGTTGCGAGACATCATTCAGTAAACTCAAGTTGATCGGGACGCACCTTAGAGCTTCGATGAATCAAGAGCGACTTTTGGATTCGGCTCTTCTGAGCATCGAGAAAGAGTCAACGGAGGAGACGGACTTCGAATCCATTATCAAAAATTTCGCACCTGTCAGAGCAAGACGCGTCAGACTTTAAATTATAATTAATCGAGACATTGTGATCGTAACGAGAAGGGAAGTGATTTAAGTACAAGTCGAGAAATTCATCGAATCTGCATCCGTTTTTTCACTTGAGGGACTGGGTACCGTCGGAGACAGAGTCAGAGGCGCATCTTTGTCATTTTGCCCTCGGGCGCCACGAGAGCTAAATCCGCCACTGCTCTCAGGTCGCCGGATGAGCCGAATCGCCCATATCAAACATGCACAGAGCTTGGAGAGCTCCAAGAGACGGGAGCGGCTAGCCCGCGCGTCCCTGCCAAGGAGCGCCGCGTTTGTGTCGCGACTATCGATTTTACCGCCTGTTCTCCGCCGCCCTAGGCGTCGTAGACAAGTTGGGCGCGGACGATTCTCGTTCTGAAGCTCCCCTTGGCCGTTCGGATCCTTCAGCATCATTATACTCGCAAACCCGAATCATCTGAAAACTTGTTCCCCAATCGAGGAAAATATTCGTGAGGTGAGCTCTCTTAAGGGAAGACTGCCGGGCTGATATCCGGCTTATAATGACGTCTGCTCCGAGAGAGGACTCTGCCATTGTGTCGGAATAGCTGGGACTGTATGATGCTACGTCATGATGTGTCACGATTCGACGTACAGTCTCAAGGCGGTGTACCGGATTGTGGTTCACGAACGGCGCATGGAAAATCCGACCAGAGATGGCGAAATCAGGATTATGGATCCCCCTCATGAGTGCCCTCAAATCGCAGGATTCGTGAATCACGCTTTTCAAGACTTCAGTTTTCTTGCCTAGATAGCCTTCATCGTCGCCAGATGCAGAATCATTGGGGTTTCCGGATAATTCCATGGAGACATGAATCTGGAGAGTCTCGGCTCGATTTTCCGATAATAATAATAGCGCCCATCCGCTTGATCGAGAGGAAAGCCACATGACCTTGAAGTCGGCACCCACTCACAATTTATTACAAAATCTCTTGACTCGTCGAGAACTTGAGCCTAGTGAGTTCTATGAATGCGTCAGCCCAAGATCCGATGGAGTTTCGAGCTTGAGGAAGTCTCTAGAACGAAAGTCTGATGACTTTGCATACGAGGACCTCATAGTCCGTGTGGGGGACCTCTTGGCCGCCATAGGGGATGTAACAGACACCGTGGCTCGGCTGGACCTTGCCGATAGTCAATGATCCCTCGTGGTGTACACGACCGATGTACAAGGGCTCACCGTCGGTGGTCACGCCTCCCTGGAGAGCACCGGCAGGGAGACGTCCCTGGCTGGCGTGCTCCCACGCGAATTCCGATTCGGAGTGAGTGACGAGGATCTGCGAATGCGAAAACAATAAATCCTCATAACACCTCAACGATAATCGAAGATCAAACGCGACCCTTGAGATTAGATTGTATTGTTTCTGACTGTCGGGTCTTTAGCAGCGGTTCTCGTGAACACGCGTGTCTCCGCTCGGCGATAAGGAAGTCATGCCCACCTCGTAATCCCGATGACTGTTCTCCTGGCCGCCCCACGCAACATAGCAGCAACTGTGGGAGGGAACAACTTTTCCCGGCACGATATCGCCGGAATGACGGGCACGGCCGATGTAGAGAGTTTCCCCGCTGGAGTCCTCTCCGCCGTGAACGGCCTGGGGAGGGATGTTGCACCCATTCGTGGGAACCCACTGGCAGAGAGCTCGGTAGTCTGTAAGGGTACGACCAAATATTAATAATCTTAGCCGACGGCGGAATGTTCTCTAAGATACAAAACGGATGAAACGTCACAATCTCCGCTCCTCCCTAGTTAGATTGGAGTCGTTGTTATTTTGTCGGCGACCCTCAAATTGGCTGCACGGATACGCTTCCGGAAATCGGTCTCCCACGAAACGTGGCAGAGGAATCCTCGTTCATTCAAATAAGGCTCTGGGTTCCATGCTGTCAACAGCAGCAGACATCGACTCGGTCATATCATTACTGCTCATACCATTGTGCTCTGGTAGTTAATGAGCAATCCAAAAAGGATCCTGGATTATCCGCATCCTTTGTAGAGCGACACACATGCCAATACAGTGCTCTTCAGAAGAATTCAGCGCTCAAAAATTGGAAGACTTGTTGACAATGGGTGTCAGACTTGTCGTCTCACTGGAGGGCTTCATCGATCTCACTCTCCGAATTCTCCAAAGTCCGAGAATGGAAACCTTCACATATGCAGTGCATCATTGCGGACCCAATAAACATTCGAAAATTATGACTTACTGCTGTAAGACATGGTGAGATCACAGAGCGGCGACTGACGCGACCAAGTGCAATACAACCTCCGTTAAAGTAAGCGCTCTTTATAACCGGCACGATAAGTGAAAGCGGACTCTCTCTTTTTGCTGGATGACTCAACTGGACGATACTGCTTGTCACAATGGCCAAACACCGATACGCGCGAGTGAGATGCTCCGCTGTTCGAATTCTCGTACCACGCCCCCGAGAGGATTTGCGCAAGCAAAATATCCTTCCTTGGGGAGCGGAACGTCTCGCGAGAAATGTGACGCCACGACACAATCTGTCGGAGACGTGTAAGAAATCTCAGCAGATGGCGTCCCCGTCAACGCAGCGTGATCCGATAGTATTCGTTCATGATTTGCGAACAATCATCGAGTTCACCACTGTGTACAGCGGTGAGCCGCAAGATGCAACAGTCGGTCGGTCGACAAGGGACCTATCGAGCCCGAATTGTTTGCGAGATATGCGAGAGGAAATTCGCGTTTGAATTGTTTCTGCCGTTAAGGCACACGTGGTCGTTTCAAGGATTCGATATGAATCATTGTTCGCGGAGGAGCTATCCTGGGATTGTGAGTAAAAGTCGACGAGTCGCCAGGACGGACCGCGGGAATTCGAAACAACATCCACCGAGGGAGAGTCAGATCCACCGATTCACAGAGGCTTTCGCTCTCCTCTCGGAATTCCTATGAGCGGAATTTCGATATCCGATTATGAGATATACTGCGAGCGGAAAGTTTATTATCTCGCTGATCGGCGGTCCCGATTCGGCTTCCCGCCGTCCAGACATCAAACTAAGATCGACGATGAGCATCTCGTCACGGAAATCATAAGTGAGAGGAATGATCGCAGCGAAGGAATTACGAGCTGCCACAATTATCTCCTCTCGGTCCCAGAGGCGTTCCTAGAATCCCGGAGGGAATCTCCCGGAAGCGCGCCATGATTTGATGACATCGACTCTTTGGAAACACTTCGTGGTACATGATTTCTCGATATGCGGAAAATCAAGGAGCGCTTGCTTGGTTGGACCGGTGTAGATTACTCATCCTTTCCTCGAACTGACGCCTTTCAGACCTGTTGTCTGCCATGATCCCGGGGACCCATCCACTTCTCAGTCAGTAATGGTTTGACTCACGGGAAAACCGCACGGAAGCATGCCTCAGGGGGTTCTCTCCACAAGAAATCCCTTGTCAGAGGTCCCTCGAACGCAGAAATTCTAGAAAAAATTCGCTAGGGAAAAATTCTACCCAGTGCTATCGATGGTCGTGGCTTTCAGAATTCTTGTGCATTCCAAAGTCACAATCAAAACACAGGTGTCGGGAGGCGGGATTCTACACGATGACGGTGGTGGCAACCTTTTTTATGTTGCTAATCATTGTGGACTCGGAAAATTCGGAAGTCACGTCGATTCCCACAACTATGAGGCCCAAGAATTTCCACTATAATGAGTGATGAGATCCGTAGAGATTGAGGGTCGATCTGATGGTGGAACTTATTTGTTTACGCGTAACTTGAGCCGTCCGAAGGTTTGATTTCTGCGTCCTGGTTCATTGGTGGCGCATTTCGATGAGATGGAGGCTGCTGGTGTCGGAATGTTTTCGGGCGGCGATTTTCCCGCGCAAAAGCAGAGTCCCTCTCAAAAAGTATTTAAAACGGGAGCGAATTCGAAGCGGCATCCCTCCGATCAAGACTCCATCTAGAACCTTGGAAGCTCGAGAGGCGAGCGCTCTCTCACTCGACAACTGCGATCGAAGAAGGTTTTCTAAGGCGGAAAATAGCAGATTTCGGGAGTTCTCGTTTCGAAAAAAAATCAAAACAGTATCCGATTTTGAATGTCTCAATTATCCAGAGACGGTCCTCGCAAACTTGATCCTGGCGCCTGTAGGATCAGGCATGATCGAATGTCGTGCTCTGTGCGGGAGACTCTATGAATGGAGGAGCGTTCTTTTAGAACCCATCGGAGCGCATACGAGCGAGGCTAGTACCAAGTTCATGAAGAGTGCGGTCCATGACGTGTGATCTCCGCAATGCATCGAGAGCAGAGACTCGCCGGGGTCGGTCGCAGAAGCTCCCCTTCTCTCCCGCATCCAATTCATCCGATCATCTATGAGATACTCCATCATCTAAAATCTCCATTTTGCTTCAAGACCGATGATGGCCGAGAAGGTGACTTCCGATATAGATTTTCGTCTGAAATGAGCAACGCCATCCCTCGCGACGACGCCCAGGCTTCTAGGACGGCAGTCAAGCTCTTGCTCGTAACATCGCTCATCAGCGATGCTCCTCAAACCATCAGATTCCAGCGTTGTCAACGACATTCCGACTTGATGTCATGTTCCTCCCATCCGAATGAAATTCTAAGAGTTGTCGAGTGATTGTGAATGAATCGTCTCGGATTCAAATCATGGTCTAGTCCAGCCTAGTCTAGACCCGCCATCAAGGATTGGCAATTAAATTCATCATTCTTGTTGAATCTATGGGAGTCGAGAAGTCATCGCCTGACGGCCTCGGCGGAAATCGGAACAGACAGTTCAGGCAAGCCGGCTTGGAGATCGTGGCGACTCAGGCAGACCCTCAGAGTCCCTAAATTGACAGAATCCTGCAAAGACGTATCTACATTCCTGGGAGCGAGATGGCTGCATGGCAACCTCTTCGTGAAACTCATCAAAATCGTCAATGACGTAGGGTAGTCGACCAGAGCGCATCATATTCTAGCGGAAGTTGATCGATCCTATTCCATCTAGGGAGACCCATGGAGATACCATATATTATTCAAAGTTTCCGGAATTGAAGACTCCGTCATCCGCATCCGATGGAGCCCCTGAGTCCAGTTCCTCCGTGCTCGATAATGCTGATGTCGATCGATGCGTCCAATATGAATTCTATGGCTCTCGTGGGGCGTGTCGTTCACTCCAGGACTATAGAAGATTATGGAGGAGCGAGCGCAAGAGACGGCAGATGCGGATTGTGGCAGCGCTCATTGGGAGCCTCATGATATTCTGCAGGTGAACGAACCGCTCGACCATCCGGGCCACTCGTGGTGAGCCCCTGCTCATTTCAGGTTGCCTCGATTCACTGATTGGACTCGTGAGTAGCCGGAACGTCGTTCTCGTGACCGGACACCCGCATTGGGTGAAAGGGAATGAGGGACAGGATGCTTCTACAGCCGTCATGGTGCAGTATGGATTCGAGGCGCGTCATCATTCCGATCACTTCCTTCCCGGATCACCGCGCACCCGGGCCAAGACGCTGGCGCGCCTGTGTGAATCTCTCAGTCCATTCGACTTGGGATGGAAGACGAGATCCCCGAATAATTGAATGCCTCATAGCTGGTGATCACGGCAGAACAGATACTACGGTATATTCAGGCCGTAAGAGAGCCATTACGATTCATTACGTCAGCAACGGAGCCGGTACGATTCATTACGGCTTCGCTTTGATCCGTGATTCGCCCTCCCAAAACTTTGCTGCCATAGGCCGCCAACATGTCATCGATCGGCCAAGGTAAGTAAGGGAAATAAAAAACTTAGGTGGTGAAATTCTCCGGGTATTGATAATTTAGGGCCTGGAACTTCTGCCTCTGGGAAGACCGAGGATGGGCAGATGAAGAAGCCCTGAAGATCGACGGAGAAGGTGCTGAAAACGAGAGAAAAGGCACTAGAAACCGTCGAAAAATGTTAGAGCTAGCCGTGACTTCGAGGAAGGAGTTGGAGAATTATGTACAACGTTGAACTTTTCGTATGCGGAGTTCGAGGACTTCGTCGCTACTCCGCGGCGACGGAGATTTGTCGAAGATGGAAGGTTACGATATGTCAGACATATCTTCTCTCCGATACGCTCCCTTAGTAAGTGTCGACGCGGAGAAATCACGTTATGAAACTTTTTTGTCTGATCGCAGGTGCTCTTCGAATGTCGATAATGCCGAGCATCCCTCCCATGGAATAAAGCTTTAACGTCCCATCCCGCCGTACCAATTCTCGGCATCGATTCCTGCTCGCTCTGACTCTAAACAACGCTGAGAAGATGCGGAGTCGCCCGAGGGTTTGAGAGATATCGTTTCCGAGTTATTTGATCACACCTGTCACGGACAGGTATCATATAAGTCATATATGAGAGTCATATAATGATCCGTGAGCTGTTTAACATATCCGATGAATGTAATACTTTGCTCCTCGGGTGCTTCATTTCGAGGGTTTCGCATCTGATTTTAGGGTATATATTCGTGACTCTGGGTGCCTATTTCTGCATTTTTTAGTGCCTCCATGCCTGCTCTTTTCCCAATTCTTCAGTGCCCGAACTTCGCTGCTCGCCCATCTTTTCGGTACCGAATCGGGCAAGAAGAGCAAAGGGGCCTGTTCCGGTGACTAGCTCAAATCTAGCTCGTCGGGAACCTCTTTTCACCGGAATTCGAACTTGACTTTGCAGCGGGGAGCAAGTTGCCATGAGGAAACGTTTAATAGGCAAAATATCTCCAAGATTCCGGAAAAGTTAGAAAAATATGGCATTTTCCCCGAAGGTTCAGGCTCTATTGATCGTTGATTGCGACGCGACGAAGAGGTTACGGCCTCAATCGCGGCTTGGAAAACCCCCTCGAGTGATCCCTTGTCGATATTGGGCAGATCCAACTCGAAATCGTTAAAGGAAGTCATTCACGACTCCGGAGTCACGTTGCTGCGATTGACAGCACCAATCGCCAACTTGATTGATCGGTATCGCGAATCTGAAATTTGGAAGGCCTAGTCGGGGTTTGGTGCTATCGGGGATGGTTTCTGAGGTCTCGACACAGCGCCAGCGTCTCCGCGAGTCGCGTTCCAAGCGGCGGTGGCTTCGTGCGGAGAGGAGTACGGATTATCAATTGCTGCCGCAGCTCGTCGACGTAAATCTGTTCAATGGGGGCTCCGGATTTCCAAGGGCTTCCTTCACTCTAAGTCCTGGGCTAGCTCACCGTCCAAAGAGTGCCGACGGAGATATTACCCTCTCGGGGATCACTGAACTCTTTCCAGCTCGCTCCGATATCTAACACCATTGCAAGGGATCGATATTTGCATTGCAGCACCCGCTACATTCTACGTGTATCATCCAGACACTCGTCTGATGTCATATGACGTCATTCCTCGTGAAATAGGGCTTGTTCCGCACTTCTCGCTTCGGAAAAGACCACCAGATCTCTATCTTGCTTTCTAAGAAGCAGTTTAAGTATGGCTGTTGCATCGTATGGAGTCATCCAATCGACCTGTCTGTTCCAGCACACTCGAGCATTGGAAGGGATGTGCGATGATTGGGCATGTGCAGAAAGCTCGACACACGTAGAACAACATCATCCGGTACACTATCTCTGACTGAGCCGTGATCAACTGAATTCTGTACCGATCAGATGATGGGTCACGGTATCTTCTGGAGTTCCCCGAAAGACATCGGCGCATGCTGAGCGGGACCTCCCAGGCTAGAAGTCTGGAACCTACGCATGAATTCGCGTATAGAGAGATCGGAGCAGCTATGAGGGGAAGGATCTGCTCCAGAATCGATAAATCTTATTTTCCAAACAGAGAAGAGCTTCAAGTAATGGAGCATAGCCTTTTCCGATTCCCCCGTCGTAGGTGTAGCATTGCGACTTGGGAATCGTCCTGTTCCACACTCTGAGCTCATGCAGCCTGCCGCGAGTAATCGCAGAGGGCAGCGGGAAGGGAATGGCACCGAGTTTCGCATCCCAGGATGATCGCGGATACAGGATCCAATTGAGGGGATTCAAGGTAGGACACTTCATGAAAACTCTTCCCAGAACAGGTCTCATCGCTTGAACACGGAGAATTAGATTTAATAGATTATTATTATTATATTTAATTCGAGCGTTAGAGAACTATTTAGGAAAACCGAGTATTCTATTTTTAATGCTCAGCTCGTAGGAGGTCCCGATTCATCACATCCCTCATTACATAGGAAGCACTGGGATTTCGTCGGTCCGAAAATTCGGCGGTCTAGTCATCCCCACGGATAAATCCTAGTTAGGAACATTTCTTGCCTCCGCAATTCTCCATGCATTCCTCAGCTGATGCGAATCGGTTGTCGTTGACCATGATCTTCAGACCGCCGAACATGAATGTTTTGCATTCACCGCTCGCGGCGTCGAAGTAATACATCGGGATGGCAGCTTTCCCAACGCCGCTCTCTTCCTTCAGGCAACACCTGTCCGGGGCTGACCGAATCAACGTTTTCCATTTAAACATATTCATCCCGGTATCGGATTCTTGCTCCGAAAAACTCCCAATGAGATCTATCTGGAATCGGTATGATCCGAGAGCTTCTGGAACACTCACCGGCACCGGCAAAGACGACCACCGACAAGAGAAGCATCAATATTCCAGCGTGCTTCATGTTGATCAACTCCTTTTCGACACTTTAGCAGAGACGCAGATTGCGACTTATGCTAAGCTCTTTTAAATAGAAATCGGCCAAGCAGCGCCCTCAGGCCAGCTGCTCTAGGTAAGCCGGTCGAGCGACACAAGGACCGATTCGAATCGAAATTTCTTCTCCATGTCTCCAATGGTGCGATCGTGACACGAGGAAGGAGTTCGACGTCTCCGTGGGAATTTCCACTTATATTAAAGTTTTATCGGCCCGGTCGCCACGTTTAGTTAAGCGACTCCCCTCGCTTCCTCGTGAAACTGACCTCGGGGGCGTGGTCACGGATAATTATTATCGGAGTCTGTTGCGGGAGTATCGATGGTGTCTGTGGATGCTGCTCGATTTCCTGATGCGCCGTCACAGGCAGTTTGCCACGAGCTCGACTGTGAATCAGAACTTTGACCTACATTTCGATTGCACAGTCTCTTCCGAAATTCACGACGGCTTCGGTTGTTATTCGCGCAGGCTCTCCGGTCTCGATGCGTGCCCTGCAGACAACGAAAACTGATCTGAATCGATCGCGTCGACCCCGATGAAGAACGCACGCATTCTTGCATGCGCTACTATTTGATCTATTGGACACAGATTGATGTCGGAAGTTATTCGGAGAAGAGCATGACTAGTTCATCATAGAATTACTCCATCAAATTCTGACCCTCCGAGGGACAGACCCCGGGGTAGGCCGCACAAGGGTCATACAGAAGAGGAAACGAGGCGCTAATAGGCTGCATTCGATTTTCTTCCCTCCTTGACCTCCATAACCCCACGGAAGAGGTTTTGGGTGAACTCCACATGAGGGGATGATCTGACCGAACCCCTGCAACTCCCCTTGGGAAACGAGGAGATCTCCACCGGATCTCCCCATGAGAGGTGAGCCTGCTGTTCCCTGGCCGAGGCATCGACTCATAGCTCATCGTCGGAGGCTGCCCTGGCATCAATGTGCGCTAAAACCTGTCCATCGGTCCATAATGGCGTACGTGGCTTTACAGATGGTAACACGTTGAAGACGAAGAGGTTGTCCATGGGTCGACACACAGCAAGATGAGCTTTCTGTTCGAACGAGTCGATGGGATGAAGACTGAATGAAAGGCACGATCGGAAGGAGTCCGCCGAAGAATATGAACAGCGTCGAGAGGCTATATCGGGGAGAAAATTTCAAACTAGGTTGATAGAGAGAGCCGGGGATATAGTCCCCCAGAAAGACTGGAAAAAGCTGATTCCCTCCATCGGGAGGATGATTTCGATTCTCTGACATCGACTGCCAAGGAGCCTATTTTTCGATAGGACTGTGATTGATGATCAGACGCCCGACATTCGCACCCCGACAAGCCGGTACCACGCATTGGAAACTTTCATCCAAGGAGGACGACGAAATTATCACAGATCTGACCAAGTCATACTGGAGCACTGGTCGTGAGTCGTGAGCGAGAGTCATGGATAAACAAGACGGACTAGAATTTGGGGTGAAACTTGGGAAGATGGTTCGCAAGAAACGTCTTTGAATGAATCTCTCCTTCGGGGCGGGGGATGGATCTACATCTTTGAGGGATTGTTTGATCAGTCCCTTCGCGAAACCACGACTTCGATAGATCACGGATCACGGACATCGAGGAATTTGTGGAGTCGATGAAATTCCTTTTTGACGGCCGGAGCTCGCTTGTCGCGAGACCTGCATACCACGCCAGATCGATGATTTCACTGATGAAGTACAAAGTGACCGATATGATTCAAGATTCATATAAGGATTTAATTCAAGATTTATGTGATTTCAAATGCCTGCGTAATGAAGAACCGTACTTGGAACTGAAATCACAGATCGCGCAATTATAGGTCTTAGAGTCTGGTTTCGGCTTTAGATCACGCTGTCGTTTTGGACTCCTCTTCTTGGCGGCTACTTCAATGCTCGTCGGCTTGACTTCGTCGAGTGGCTTGACTGATTCTTGCAAGAATGCCTGGTAATCTCTGTCGGTGTCGTCCTCGCCGGCAACTCTGCAGTACGCGCTACCCAAATCTCCGAATACCTGCACGTAGAACAGCGCTTTGAATTGCTGGTGTTCCCCGCTATTGTCTTCGGCGATCACCCATCCATTCTTGAGCTCATTGACTTTGTTTGATGTCGAATCGCTACTCAAGCACGGGATGTGGTTTATTCCGTGTTTACGACTTGTATGCAGCTGAACTCCGACGATCGAGTTCAACTTGGCAGGGCAAAACAAGCAGAAGAACGCTGCCGACATTTCGGCCGGATGCATAATCCTCTCATGATGAGCAACAACCCGTTTGTCTAGGCTCTCGAAATCGCAATACTTGCACCTTGGCGCCGGCAGGACTGAGTCGTTTGAGAACAGATCTGTGAGTTGCACTGGGAACGACATCCGAGCTCTGAACAATCGATGTTTTCGTGAAACTCTTTGGCTCGATCGGGGAGGAACGGAGTACGAACGATCCGGTTCACAAGGCGCGTCGCTTCTTTTACCTCGACGCAATAAACCACGACCCCCGATGATCCCAATCCAGGTTTCGAGGGAAAATAGAGCTCCTCATTTGTGACAATAGATCTCCGAGCCGAAGAAGAGCGGACTTCCCGAAAACCGCTCTCTATCGCAGGAAAATCTCAGCCGTCTATTATTTTTTGAACGGCAATTATTTCTATCTTCACGCGGAAATGATGAGCTTGAATTTCCGTTCGATTAGAGGTAGAAGTATTCCTCGGAGCGGAAGTGCCCGCTCGGCGAGAAAGAAAAGCTGGACGAAAACGAAGCAGCTCTGTCCGCCAGCCAACGCTCCGGTCGCAGAGCGATTCCTAGACATGGTGCAATTTTTCGGGAGGAAACCAAATTATGAGAGACTCTTCACAGGATACGAGATCTGTCCTCGTTCCGATCTGGTAGACATCTCGTGAAGCCCACGACATTGACTTCACGAATGGTACCATTCAGTTTGTCACGACTAACGACCAGCAGCCGTCGTAGGAACCGACCTATCCGCATATGCATTCGTGGAGAGGACTCCATCTGAATATCAAACTCATACGTGTCGATGATTCTATTCTTTTCTCCCAGCCATCAGGGAAGCTTCAGACGACAGAGATCGAAGAAATCATCGGTCATACGGGGAGCAGATCTAGGGAGCGAGAGCCTGTTTTCGAATTCGGGATATTCTTGTCGGGATTGCCTGATCAGCGCCATGCCTGTCGCTCGTACAATGAGACCCAAGTGAAAGATAAAAACAACTGTCCGCCGCATCGCCTGCTTCTCCAATGGCACGGATGGAAAACGACACTTCCGAAGATAATGACAATGGAATCTTTGAAAATCTTACTCGCTCAGTGACCAGAAGCAGCAAGAGAATGGAAACGGGAAGAGGACGAGCGCGAGACCGAATTGTCGGCGAGCGACCGATTCACGCCTGCACGTTCCGTGGTGACGCGCAGAGCTCGCGTGCGCGAATGTCCGCGTTCGATTCGTGCGCGAACCAAAACAGAACGGCCGATCAACTATGGCCAACTTCACCGGGTGCGCTCTGGTTCACGAGTTCAGCAAACACTCCGAAGATCAATGTGAGTTCGTGAGGGAGTGCGAAGACTGCCACCGAGGAGAGGGCTTCATTCCATACATCACCCTGATCTACTGCTTGCCGTATCGACCATATTTACCATTGGCCGCTCTCTTGTGTGTGAGTTTGTACCTGTTCGCTGTACTGGCAATCACCGCAAACGACTTCCTCTGTCCCTCCCTTGTGGCAATTTCTAAGAAACTCGGCCTGTCGCAAGCCGTCGCCGGCGTGACGTTCCTCGCAATCGGTAACGGCGCCCCTGATATAATCGCCGCGTTCACGGCAATCAACCAAGAGAGGTCGGCTCTCGTGATCTCGGAATTATTCGGTGCCGGTACGTTCGTGACAGCCGTGGTCGGAGGCTACATTTTCTTCTCGAGCGACTTCACCGTCGACAAGTTTTCCTTCATCAGAGATGTCGTCTTCTACTTGGCAGCGGCAGCTCTGGCTTTCGCCCTCTTCAAGCTGGAACGGGTGACGGTATACCACGCAGCGCTTTTCGTCGCAATCTACGCCCTTTATATAGCGCTGGTTTTGATTCGAGAACTGGTCTCAGTTCCAAATGAATCGACCCACTACGGAGGTCATTATTCGCCGCCTCTAGCCCAGTCAGCCCTTGAGGGCGGTGGGTTTTGCGAATCTGATAGACTTCTCGGACCAGAGGTGAAACTCCGTCGTCCGTCGGGCCTGAACGTTCATCATCAGAACGCGATAAAAATTCTGCTCCAACAGCAAGCTCAACTGAACCATTCCCCGCCAGCGACCAGTCACCCCCGAAGCGGTTCCGTTTCGTTTGTTCAGACCCCGAACAGTATGATCTCGCGGGAATTCCTGCAGAGATCGCGCTCGGTTTCCACCAGTCACCCATCGATTGGTTACATGAAGGATCACCTGGATCGACTCGCGAGCGTGTCAGACAGCAGCAGCAGCTCTGAATCAGACGTGCTGATCGGCGAAGTCGAGGACATGTCCCCATGGAAAGAGCTCTGGATCCACATTGCGCCGATCAGCTACCAAGATCTCAAATCCGAGAGCCTCTTCAGCATCACGTGGCGTACGGTGGCTCTGCCGATTCAAGTCTGCCTTGCTCTCACAGTTCCCGTCGTGGACTACGAACACGAAAAGGATAACTGGTGTCGAGCGCTCAACGTCATACATTGCATAACGGCCCCGATGGCGATGGCCTTGATCGTGTTCAAGGACGTTGACGTGTACGACGGCGTCCCTCTTTTCGTGTTCATTTTCCCGCTGGGGCTGTTGCTGGCTTCCCTGGTGGTCATTTCGTCAGAGCAAAGAAAAGCGCCTAGATACCATTTCGGTTTCGCTCTGTTGGCCTTCGCAACAGCTGTTTGTTTTATTTACGCGGCCTGCAGAGAGCTTATGACGGTTCTGAAGGCACTCGGTCTGAGTCAAAACATCGACGATAGCGTATTGGGTCTCACCGTTCTCGCTTGGGGTAGCAGCATGGGCGACATGATCACGGACTCGACGGTCGCCAAGCAGGGCTACCCCTCGATGGCGATCGCCGCTGCTTTCGCTGGGCCTATGTTGAACCTGATCATAGGATTCGGACTTTCTTTCAGCGCGAAATTGGTACAGACTCACGAGACGACGCTTACTGTGCAATTTCCCAGTATTCTGTTCGTGCTTTACGCTGCCTTAAACTGTAGTTTAATCTTATCGGTGATATTCTTGAGCTGCAACAAATTTCGATCGAGCACAACGCACGCTATCGCATTGTGGCTATTGTATGGTATTTTTATTGTCACGGCTCTTACCATGACCATTCATTCGGATATGATTTCTTAGAGGATGTTATCAATTATGTAATTTATTTAGTTCTGATCACCTAGCCGGTTTCCCCCACGTGAACGGAAGTCTTCGGATCTGGAAGAATAAAGACGAACCGTGGCTTCGTCAGATCCTGACGTACGAAAATGACTTTTCACTACCCTGAGCTCCCCCTCCGTACGTTAGAAGGAGTTATAGAGCGTAGTTCCTCAAGCGTGTCCCTATCTCAATATCGGGTGGATACAGACCTGCCCTATTCCTTGTCTGATGGATCATTCGGATGCCATGATTGAGGCACATTCCACGAAGCTCATGAGGTCATCCGTTAATGTATAATTCTAGATAGGTATTCGCACCGGAAGTGACTTGACGTATGTTGGGGATGGTTGCAAAAAAAGCTCAAAAGGATAGTGAACGCCCCTCGCCTCTCTTCCCTCCATAGCGCAGGGATGAGGAGCGGGTCATCTCCCTGAACCCTCCGTGGGCCGAAGATCTACCTGAGTCCACCCCATGACCGGATGGATCGACGGACCTGGACCACTCTTCACTGCCCATGGAGTCCACGTCTTGGGATAGCTTTTCGTTCGTAATTGGCAACGATGAGCGAGCAAGGTTAAAAACTAGAATGCTCATCCGACCTCGAGCTCGAGCTATCATTCAGAAGGGGGGCTCAGAACCAGGGACGAGTCGGACGGATCGTCTCGCTGGGAACGAAAACTAGCGCTTTCTCGGCATAGATCACCGGGAGTGGCCCGAGACTAGTGTTCGACCTGCTCGTAGTGTTCGATCCCCTAGTGTTCGACCCGCTCGTGGACCTCGTAGGACAGGGGAAGGGTGGTCCCATGCCCCGTGCATGCCGTGAATTCTGGAGGGATGATCCGAGCTCTTGAAAAATATCGCAGTTTTATTTATATGAATTTAACTATTGCAGAGTCATTTGTAGCACGTCGGGGCTCTTTGAGCTTCTGGAAAGTGGGTTCTTCACATCTTGCCCTTCATCTGAGACATCAGTTTCTCGAGCTTCATGGCTTTCCCCATATCACCTTTGATTTTCAATTTGCCCGTCATAAACGCCGCGGTGGGTTTGAGCTTCCCAGTGAACATAGAGAGCATCGCATCTTCGTTCGCCACGAAGGTGACATCTGCTTTCTCAGCGGGTGCTCCTTTCCCTGTGGCTCCCGCGCCATTTTTCATGTCGATGAAGAATTCCCCTCCTTCTTTGATTTGGAAAACGAAAACACCCTTCGTCTTGGACACCAATTCCTCATTGAGTAGTCCCTTGATTTTATCGAAGAGTCGCTCGAGGCTCGGGGCACCCGTGGCTCCCGACGTGTCCAAAACGTTGTTCTGTCCTTCGTAGTACTTGTCCGGTAAGAAGAAGTCCAGCATGATCTCGTTGCCGGGAACGCAAGCGTATTGGTCGAAATCCGTGATTCCTGGGAATGAGGCCATTCCGCTCTTGATTCTCGCTCTTTAACCATACCCAAGCTTCAAGACAAAGAAAAAGAAGAGCTGGAATTACCTTCGCCCCGGAGAACCTCCTCGTCGATGCAGAAATTTCCGGTGAAGGTGTTAGGCTTCGAAAGTATGGCGTACGCAGCGTCGGCCATGATAGAAGGTTTCCTCGAGTTCGCTTGCGCTACCTTATCATCCCCAGCAAGCATGGCAGTGGCTGCTGTGTAGATTGATGTCTTCGGCCACAGAGTATTCACGGCAATGTTGTCTTTTTTGAGCTTTAAAATTCAGAAATTGAGTCCCGCGAGAGAGACAGATCTCCCCTTGAGCATTTCTATTTCTTCGTCTGTGGTTATCTCGAATCGGATTCCCGAGTCTCACCTCTTCAGCCATGCCGAGCGCACACATCGACATACCGAACTTCGTCATAGTATACGCGACATGTGGGGCGAACCATCGGGGGTTCATGCTGAGCGGTGGGGAGTTGTTAATGATTTTCCCTCCGACCTTGGACTGCTTCAAAAAGGGTATACACAACTTCGATGCGATGAAGGTGCCGCGGACATTCACTTGATGCATGAGATCGTATCTGGAAGGGGATTACTAAGTATTTCCCCCAACCGTCCCTTCAGGGAGCCATGGGGAGTGTTTCGGGTGAGGATCCTCATTACCGTCGCCCACCACGATCATAGAAGGCACCTTTTGATCTCCGTGTCCTCAGTGGCAGTCAGATTTATGGCGGACGCGTTGTTGATGAGAGCGTCGATTCCTCCAAACTTATCAGCAGCTTGCTCCACGCATGCTTTCACATTCGCTTCGTCTCGGACATCCATTACCACAGCCAGCGCCTTACCACCTGCCTGCGAAAAATTCGGAAGTCTCTAATCATGCCCGTGATTCGAGTCAGATACCCCAAGAATGAGTCAGATGATCATCCGCCCTGCAGAACTTCTCTCGGTTGAGCGAAGGATCGTTCTTCCATGAGCCGACACTTACTTTCTCGATCTCTTCCGCGGCAGTGTATATCGTTCCGGGAAGTTTCGGATTTGCGGTGGCCGTCTTGGCGGCTACGACGATGTTCGCTCCATCCTATGGTACGAAATAGTTGATGATATAAATTTTGAATCGGAGCTCTCGGAATCTCAAGAGTCGAACATCGCCGATGGTGATAGTGATTGATTACCTTGGCACATTTCAGAGCGATCTCTTTCCCGATGCCCCTGGATGCCCCCGTGATGAAAATTGTCCGACCGGCGAGTTTTCCCGTATTCAACATTTTGTTCGTCTTTTCGAGGTTCTTTAGTGCACTGCAATAACAAAAATAGAGGGGATGATGCTGGAGCTTCTCAAATGTTCCATGGGCAGAAAATCCCCCCCTACCGACTCGGGGAGCGCTCAAGAGCATCGGGAAGCACTGAGCTCTCTTCGGTGCTCTCCCCGAGAAAGGATCCAAGTGGATCGCACTTGGATTGGAACCTACACTCCGTGCATTTTTGGTTCAATTTTCATTTACAATCCCGCTTGGTTATTCAGACTGAAAGTGTTCATGCTCGTGTCCTGGATCACATCTCATCACTGATTGGTCGAGTTACCGAATTCGGGTCGTGTTGCTCTCCCGACATCCGATCGAGGGTCGATCTGACTGAATTAGAGCGGTGGGTCGATCCTAGCTCAACTCTCCGCATCGATCCCTCATCATCCATGACCAGCCCTGCCCAACTCGAAGCTCACGGAGAGCCAGTGCCGTAACCCTCTCAACAAAAAATGAAAACTGCGATATTTGAGCTCAAGCGCGAAATACGTCATCTCGATCAACATGTCTCCGGAACCGGTTGTCCCGTCAGACAGTTTATTGGGAAAAGAAACTTCGTAATGAATGCCTGGAATTCCGAAGCTCGTCTTAGGGTTTTCCGAATTTCTCATGGTCTCTGATTGAGTTCCCCCGCTGTTTTTGAGCGCTCTGCGCAGCCAGAGGACGAGGTTACCCTCAGAGCAGGTATTTTTAGATGTTTAATCGGGACATTTAAACACGCGGGCTTCGGAGTTCCCGACCCTAGCATACGGATTTCTGAGGTCAACCCCCGGGAGTCTCAGTTGCCCCAGGAGCCTCACGCTATTGGCGAATTCCTGTCACTCACCGCGGAAAGGTCTGTGTTAACCAGAAAACAACAAGAATGCCGAGTAATGATCCAAAGTTCACTCTCCCAACTCTACAAAACAACGCCAGGAGAGAGCTCTCACGTAGACGTCGGAAACAGCTGTGTGAGAGACGCGCCAACATTCGAAAGTCGGCCCCGACCGCTCTCTCGTAGATTCAGAACTCAAAACCACATGATCGACATCAAGCCGACCGTTTCGAATCGAACAATCCATGCTGAAAGCTGATAGCCCTGTTCTTCGAATCGACCGCTGAAGCTCCCTGATACGGGAATGAGAACTCCCCGTTTTTGATCGGTCGAGATGACATCTCTGAACATCTTCAACGCCGCACTCCATTCAATGGCCGCCAGATCTCCGGAAAAACAATTTTTATTGCTTCCCGGGAGCGGAAATCGATCCGAATCGAAGGCATTTCGAGGGAAGTTCTGCTCATCATTTCCCATTCAGCTGTCCGATCAGTTTCTCCGATTTCACGGCCTTCCCCATATCACCCTGGGTCGAAGCCGCGGTGGGTTTCAGCGTCCCCGCGAGCATATGCAGGAACCATCCTTAAGTCGCATTGGCGAGTCACATCCACTAAATGGGGCGGCGGTACAGTTCTTCACTCAGTACCGTTCCGTGACCGTCCATGGTCTCGAGCACTCGTCAAGTTGGTATAAGACGCTACTTGGGTTCGGTGAGCTTCTGCCCAATCCCGCAGAGTCTCAGTCTGCCACCGGCTTGGATCGGCTTCACTACTGGCGGATGCCTTGCTGACGATTCTGTTCGTTCTAAATCGCCGGAGCACATGAGTGAAATGGGTATACATGGGGAGAGAACCGTCTCGGGCGGTGATATCGCACAATCGCAATTTATCATCAATTGTCATAGGTGAAGAATCTTGTATCTGAGGGTGTTCAATTGAGGTAGGCCAATCCCGGACAGATTATAGTAATGGCTTGGTGAATTTGAAAAATTTGGTGAAACACTGTCCGTCGAGGAGCGTTCGGCTGGGTTCTCAACGAGCGTGGAACGCCGGAGGAAGGCGCAATGCCCATAGTTCGGTCTCCAAGTTCCGATTCCCAACTTCCGTCGCGGAAGGCGTCGTCTGTCCTTGAGCCTCGAGCTCGAAGTTTTCAGTGGTTGCGAATCGATTCCACGACGAGTTTCTATCTGGAGCGCTCGCACTGAGTCCCGCATCGAGCGCTGCGTCTGTGAACACTCATCAGTCAATCAATCATCAGTGACGAGTCTACACAGGGAGGACGATGCGCTGTCGCAGTCGCATTCTACATATTCGCTCTGGCCGCGCGCACCGCAGCGTCCGGCCTCAGACAAGGTTGCTCTGACGCGCGCAGATTTCAGCGTAGCGAAATGTAGCGGTCAGTATAGTCGGGTCGACTTTCTATGATCGTTTCGCCGCGTGAACGGCAGGCTGGCTACCACGCGTTCTTGGGTTTCATTATGTTGACTGTGCGAACGTCTCAATGTTGGGCGATACCTTGAATACTTCAGGCTCCGTTAAAGCGATTTACGGTAGAATCTCGTCATAAGAGACCCTAAGGGAACGGCCGAAACGGTCGGTTGTATCCGAGGTCCGCTACATCCGAAGAAGCGTCCAAGTCGGAATTGAGGGTGGAAATCATCGGAGATGCCGCTGCGGCCTTTCTCATGACACACGTGAGGACAAGGAACCCCGGAGTCTTCCAATACGCCGTCGCTCCCGAAGTTCCGCAAGAGCTCTCACAAGAACAGGTCCGTTAGAAGTCCGATTTGATGAGCATGAGTGAGCATTAGTCGTAGTGTAGCATAAGTGGAGCATAGTGGAGTGGATTGGAGAAAGGCCTGGGCCTGGGGATAAGTTTGTCATATCCGGAAGTACGTTATTGAGTCCGCTACAGCCGACGCACACAAACACACACTCTTCACATTGAAGATCCCTTGAGCTTGTCTGGACTGAGCGATCGCACCCTTGCAACCGAGTGTCCATTATACACGAGACCATCATAACGAGGTTGTGCTGTGAGTAGTGGGGATTTTTCGGGTCTCCATCGATTTGGGATTCCATTTTCTCGATTTGAAGATTTTGAATCGATCTCATTACAAACCCGTCCGACGAATTGAATGGAAACCGGGATGATTTCGCATTGGCTCATCCTCGCTCCCTTAAAATTCTAGCACCCGGCGCCGGCCCTCAAATATCTCATGTTCAAGACTGAGTTCACCAAGCGCGAGTCTACCTTGTGCGGGATAGTCGGTCGACCCCAAGTCTCTCGGATGGAGAAACTTCGCTCGGTTTCCCGTCCCACCGAACTCGTCGGATGTCGATGACAACTGAAGGAATGGAAAGAAGGGTCGGGATGGACGGGCGAGAAAACATCAGCAGGGTCATTTTACATTGCTGGGTGAAATGGTGTTGATGGCAGAATCAGAGAAGGCTAATATCCTCGTTGCGAAGCCAAGTCACGTTGTGATAGATCTCGCCAATGCTTTTCCGACCCCGACGCTCGGGGGTGAACGCACGTTCATATCTTCGGGCCGCGGCCGGAGGATGCGGAAGCCCAGCCGAACCGGCTCAGTCGAGTTTCACAGCCGAATCTCAGGGCGAGGGGGACGTAGACTCCACGAGGAAGTCCGATTCTCAACAATGCGAACGGAACTGGCGGAAATCGTTCGACATATCTTCTTAGAAGCTCGACATGCGAAACAATATACGAATCTGGGCACGAGGGAGGCTAGCCCGGGAAAAAACTGGAATCTCACCCTCAGAAAATGGCTGGAAGGTCGAAACAACTCGGGGAGTTCCCGGGAGGAATGCGCCCGATGTGGAGATGTCCACACCGAACACCTGCGCTACCACATCTTCGCTTCGCTCAGAATTGGATTTTGGCTCGATCATCGCAATGTTATGGAGGGAGTTCCCCCGCTCCTCGCCATTTGGGGAATCCGCACTTCGCAGGGAGCGAGCAGAGGAGCTGGCGAGTGAATGGAATAGAATTTACGTTCCGCTTTATGATTCGGTCTCGTCGCCTCCAGCGCACTAAGGAAACGCAACTTGGACGGCATGGGGAAATGACGCTGGCGCAGGAATAAGCGGGGGAGAGTCCGAGAGGACCGAGCCCACGGAGCCGAGCATCCGTTCCGTCGCTCATATACCGCGCTATCTGTAGTTCTTTTTTATTTTGAAGTCTCTCCCCGTGTTTTGGGCTGGGTCTCGATAGTGGGGTGCCATGAATCCAGTCAGCCAGCGAGCTGGTCGATGAATCCTCCGGTCCGCCTGCTTCCCCATCTGGCGGCGACGGATTCCGAATGCAAGATGTTTCTCGTCTTATCGATGTCGTTTCTATCTCTCGACGTCATTCGAAGCCGGGGTTTTCATTCCCAGAGTCTTTCATTCGCAGAGTTTTCGCTCTCACCCCTCGGTCGTTATCGGATGCGATCAACAAGTTTTTCCTGGCTGAAAACTCGTCTACCGCCCTAGCAAAACAGCCGGGCAGGCTGAGTCGGGGAGTAGTATAAAAAGCGTACAGACTCTCGGATACCAACTCTCGACGATGTAAATAGCATCGGATGACATTCGTTCCTGGATTGGTTTCCTTCCCCCGCTGACCAGTCGATATGGAATCTCGTAAAGTCGCGACCCGCGCTGAATGCATCGAATCAAGGAAAGTGTGAGAGTTGTCGAAATTGCGGATATCAGTACTTGTTGAGACCCTCCGGATGTACCAGTTTGTAATCGCTTCTCACTCACCTGAAAGACCGAGCTCTGACTGCGGAAGCAACAAGGTTTACAGGAGCTCCCTCGCAGCTTGGGGAGCCCACGTCTTTGCCTGTGCTCTTATCCTCGCAGACATCCTCTCCGTGTAACTCGAAAGGAGCGAGTCCAGGCAAACAACGAGAAAGCATGCTCGCTCAGAGGAATGTTAATTAAACCCAATGAGAGACATGCAAAGCTCCGTAGAGACAAGTTTAGACTTCCACACGCCGAACGACGACATTCCTGACGCCAGCGGCAGCGATCACAGCATCTGTTCTTTTTGCGGGAGGACGCAGGAAAAAAAGTCCATATTCCCTTAGTACGGAAGAATTTCCGTGAATCTTCGCGAAATTGGAATAGAGTTGACGTCTCCGTCGAGGTCCAAAATCCTCTGAGATCCCCGTCTAAAAAAGGTTCATCAGTCTCCGATACGCGTTGGTGACTCACGCTGCGTGTGGTCTTCAGCAGATGCGTCGATGTTGAAATGGTTGAGTGAAGAGACATTTGTGTGTTCGAGGCGCTAATCGTCACAACTAGCGAGATTATCTTAGCTTTTATCTCAAACACACAGAGAATAGAAGGGCTACGAAGAAGAAAACCGGCGCTCCTGCTCCAAGTCGTCGCTCCACCGTCATTACTGGGGGATCACAAGCCGGCACTTTCAGCTGTCAAATATCAAACGAGTCACTCTGTCGTTTCCGTGACCGTATCTTCTCATTTCTCGGCCAGATGATCGTGGAAGAGAAGGAGCTGATTACGCACAAGGAGAGGAGCACCAGCGTCAACGAAAACCATCTCCGTACGATAGAGATCGTCGCCATGTACCATGAGCGCCTCTGAATAGGCGAGTGGTAGTCGATTCGGCGTGGATTCAGTCAGTCATCCGCTCAGAGCGTCGGCATCGAACAGCTTGGCGTCTTTTGTGTTTTCACCAAGTGTTTCCGGTGCTCTTCCCTCTCCGAGTGCGCGTTGATGCCAGAACTGTGAGGTAGCGCAAATCTAGGATCGCACGATAAGCCCTGACTCTTTCGATAATAATTATTGAAATAATCATCGCTTGGCTCCGATGCGCAAAAAGCTAACGAGAGGACCAATAGAAAATATTATTGAATAAGTACTGACGATCGCGCGAGTCGACGATCGTAGTTCATGAGCCATGCTGATGAGGCACACGGTGGCGCTCTATGAATCTTGAGGAGGCGAATTCCACGAGTCTCGGAGGCGTTTCACGGGTCTTCAAAAGACCAAGGACTTCGACCTGCCTCTATGACCTAACCCCCTATTTAGCAGCCAAAGCGAGAGTCCTGGCTCGAGTAGATCAACTACTTCGGAGATGTTCACGAATGCGTTGAGAATTATCGGAGTCAAACGACGACCATAGAGTCAGCTTACACGTCACGAACGGTTTCCGAAGCAGCTCCGGGTCCGGTAACAAAACTCTCGTCGATGAACGAGTGGTAAAATGGCTTCCCATCCCGGTCTGTACTGCGCACTCGAGGTGTTCCTCCTCATTATACAAAATCGCAAAATGTCCGAGTGAGCTCCGAGACCTCGTGAGCCAACATCGGCACCGGAACTTTTCCAGAGTGGTTTGAGACTCGGGGAACGTGGCGTTGTGGAGATTCACCATCCAGCGGGTTGACATGGAAGATAAGTGACGTCGCTCGCGAAGTATCATGTTCTCATGCGTTCAAAGCCGGCTACCACGGAAATATTCATGAGGGTCATGCACTTTGAAACTTGATCCGAGGTCTCTGGAAATCATGGAGTTCACCCGAGCCTGCTTTTTTCCCGGGTGGCTTTTAATTTCTCGTCACAGTGTTCGTGGGCTGATATTGTTGCGGAGCCCTTAGAGGAGCTCTCGGGTGATGTGGGAATAGTTTCGATCCGTTAGCGGATGCGGGTTCCCATGCTAGGTTCTCCAGTTACTCCCCAGAACCAGAACCAGACATAAGGGACGACGGGCTATATACGACGACCCCTTGTGTCTGAAAACGGCTCCGCTCACAGCCCCTGCACTGGAAGACCTCATCGAATTGATGTAATAGTGCATTCTTTCGGAAATAATCCTCGACTGAGTCATGAATATTCAGTGTACCGCTGACTCGCGAACGAGAATCGCTGCGTAATCGGTCTCGTTCCCTGTCCTGAGGAATCGAATCGAATCGTGAGAGGCTTGTGTACATCCTCCGCCAACGAACCTTCGCCTAATCCTCTACGATGCTGAGTTCAATTTCCTCTGAGCTTTACTTGGCAAGTCCCAGGACAGCAGCGGCTCGAGAGCTGGCGGTGGAACATAGCGGAGAGTGAGGTCTTTGACTTATTCCTCCGCCGAACGGGAAGCAAAGTACGACAATAATTAGATGACGTGCTCGGCCTGATTGAAACGCCGGCGCCGGGCAGAGCGCTACGCCAAGACAAATCGTCGCGACGGCGGCGCCTGACTCACGCAGCAGCACTGTTTGTGTAAACATGAATGTGAACTCGACTCTCCTCCACGCGTGAACATCGATCGAGTCGTTCGGAATTACGGTCGATACGACTGCGCATCGAAGCCTCTCCTCTAATCAAAATATTTGACTTACCTGAACGTACTTGTTATCTCGGATCTGGTGAATCCATTCGTAGCCGATCACAGCAGTGACTCGGTCAATGAGTTTTCTACGCGCCAAGGGGAACAGTTGATTCTCGTGATCTTGCCAACGAGTAACGAAGCTTTCCCGTTCGATGGGGGAATAATCGGAGGTTAGTGGAATGAGCTGGGACTCCGCGAGTTTTCTACTCAGCCAGTGGAGAATTTGTCTTCTCCACCGCTCGCGATCAGTGTAGTTTGTGATTTTCTGCAACGTAAACAGTGCTCCGCGAGCCACAGCTTCCCCAGGAACGGGCGGTATTCTCTCGAATACGAGTGTTCTCGACTCTCAGTAAGCTACTTTACAGTAAAAAATCTCCCAGTACCCTGCCCAAGCCGCCCAGCCGGTAGTTGCTCCGCAGAGTGAATTCGGTGAGCTCGGTCAATTCCCAAGGCTCCTTGGTCTCAAAGGAGATGCCCCAGTGAAAAGCTCAAATATCCTAAACATTGATTTTAAACAACCAAAGCGCCGATCAGCGCGAAGGGTGAGACCATCATCCGGGTTAGATCCCGGAGCCTCGTCGATGGAGGCGACATTATCTCGTCAATGGAGGAAAAAAATATGCTCAATTATTCCTCGGGAAAACAAACCCCGGCTGAGGAGCTCATCATCTCTGTCGAATGGGATCGGTTCCATATCGCCCCGAGTGGTATCGAATTTGATCTCGAACACCGGAGAAAAAAGGCTGCTTTTACCGCAACATTGGCGTGGAGACGAATTTCTACGGGACAGAGTGGTGGTTTTCCGCGAGCGAGAATCTTTTCATCAACGCGGGGAACAACTCAAATTCCAAGTCTCGACGAAAATTGAGGACGGAGGCGAAAGTCTGTTCCACTCGGGTATCCTTGGAGAGGAAATGACGGCCTCCCAAGGGAACCACCGAACTCAAAGGGAACTCGGATTACGCGATTGACTCATTAGCCGAACCGCGAACATCAAAAACACCAATTGCCCACAAAGAAGGAACGCATGCACGCATCATTTCCTAGCTTCCCTATTCGGGGAGATGCTACACTGGCAAGCAATCCTCGAGTTGCCAGCGTGCAGAGGATGAACGAGAAGACTCGAAGCAAGTGAGAGCCGCGGACAATCTCGTGCATGTCTTCAATACCGTATACGAATATGGCATCACCGACAGTCGGAACCTGAGTAGAATTCCGCTCATTTCGCGAACACCCCGAAACCGGCCTCCGCTAGGTTGAAGAGTGCAGGTGATCCTCCCCCTCCCCCCTCAGGATTCGATGGAAACGCTTGCTCGGCGCTCGCTCTTTGTGTCTCATACAAACAGCCTTGCCGTATGCTCAGCGCCTCGAAACATCCGTCATTTGGGCCATGGATTCCCAGACGTTCGAGATCTAAAATTCGGGAACGATGCGGGAATCACGAACTCGACTCGGTTGTGGTATATCCTGGAACGATAAATCTTGACGAAGGTCCTCCGAGCGTCCATTGGAGAGTGCCACTCACCGTATACAGGACAGATACCTAGCGACGAGTTCCGATGAGACCAGAGCTTTGGCTCCGCTGTATGAGATACCCGGGTCTCTCGGCTGATTTATACCATGTCAAAGGCGGGGATCAATGCTTCGGGGGGAAAGATCTGCGAGTGACTATCTTGACGAGACGCAGATTTGCTCAATCGAACATTCCTCCGTTTGTAGATCTAGCTTTGGAAGCATGGAATTCGAGCGCGGAAACTTGGATTATACCCAGGACCCAGGTTCTAGTCGATATCCCGGAAAAGATACAATCATTCCTGGGGGAATTAAAAATGTCGTGCACGCGATTTGCGAAATCGATGACTACACGGAAATCAGGGACGCGAAGTACTTCTCGAAGGGTTTCGAATAGCCAGCACGATAGCGCGGTATTGATAGGTTTAGCTCAGATTAAATCAATCCATAATTCCCCCGCTCGACGAGTTGGAATGGTAAGAGAAGTTGTGTTCTCTTTCAGGAGGGTATAAAGAAGCGGATCGCCAACTTCGGCGGCATTTCACGATGCGTGCTCTGTGGAGCATCGTTGCGATCGCTGCTCTCGCGGGTGAGTACGTGGAAGAGCTTTGTTACCACCGGCGAGTGAATGCGCCGCGCCGTAATCACCGACGCGGTGATGTTTCGTTCGTCGACCGTGAGAACGGCCTATCTATGGCGTTCCCGGTCTCCAAGAGCAGAGACTCGCTCGAGAAACAATTGACGGACAAATTTTGAAGAAAGATTCCGGTTTTGACCCCAACCCTGAACCGGAAGAACGGTCTACCATGAACGCCTCTACAGTTTGCCCCTGGCTGGTGATCCGGTCCGCTCGCTGCTTGGCGTCGATGATTTCCTCGTCAAGAGAAACTGCTCTGCGGTCACTCTGACGATTAAGGGGACGGCCACTGTTTTTGTTGATCCCAGAGTTTGTGAGCAAGCCTTATCGGTCTGCGCACCGTGAGTGAATCTTTGATGCGGCTTTGATCGTACTCGAGATAAAGAGTCATCGGAGAGAGACAGAAATACCCGGTTGTCAACACTCAAACGGTTCTAGCAATCATTGAGACCTCCATTCGACTCCGATTGGGCATCTATCTGATCCGAAGAGGATCATTTGAGTCAACACGTTCCCATACTCGTCCCGACATGGCTTTAGGGTGGCGTCATCGCGTTTAGATCATCGCGGAAAAGCCAATCGATCAACAGATGGTCGAGTCATGCCTTACGTTCATGCCCTCAATTCTCTCTCGTCTATGTTCCATCTCGAACCGGCTGTGACAAATCATCAGTCCGTCCATAGAGGGAGTTTGGTTCCAGCAGAATCGCCGGAGATCGGGAAAACCTACCGAGCCGTCCATTCTCGCTTCTCCCCTCTCCCATCCATCCACACGGAGATCGGGGGAACTTCCGGAGGAGAACCTCCGTGAGGAGCTGCAAGATAGGTCCGGGTCAGCGAGAGCAAATCCCCCGCGCTCTCGGCCTCGTCCATCTGATAAAGTTGATCGTGGTCGGACGTGGACTTCTGCGACTTGTCCTTGCTGCTCCAGGGAGTAATCCGGGATTATTCACGCGATTTACCTCAACGCTTGGCTGGTGTTTGGGTGTGGACCTTATCAGCAATACGCACTAGCGGCTGTCTCTGACATTTCGTTTCCTGACACGCTGGAAAACCGAACCCCACCCAAAATATTCCTGGATTCTCGGAGCGTTCTCGTGTCTACCCATTCTCGATAATTCATTGTCTCTCACGGGGCTTCAACGGCTTGGCTCGAAAATGATTCCGAAATGAAATTTCAGCGGCGACGCCCGATCCGCGATGCAATTCTCTGCGGACGTCGTGCTCCGACCTGTTCCTCGCGATCGATTGCGGGACTGTCAACGAGTGCATCCCGCGATGGGAAACCTTGGAAACTCCTGTCGGCAACGACACCGAACTCTGTGCCACCTGCAAGAAAATGGTCCAAGAGGCCAGAGAGAACTTGCTGAGCAACATGACCCAGATCGAGCTCCGTGAGGTTCTCGAGGGTAGTTGCGACGACCTCATCCCGATTCCACCCTTCAACGTCATTGTGAGTTTCTGCAGTTTATTGATTCATTTATTCATATTTGTACGGAATATTCTCTCGACTTTGACTCACGGATCGAAGGATAGGCACCTCCTCTCCATACAATCTGAATTCCACCTGCCCCCATCAATTATCATGGATGGATGGTTGGGAAACTACAAGGGGCTTCATCTGGTTCTATCCTCCTCTTCAACAGTGCAAGAAGCTCATGGACGCCTTCCAAGATGAGCTGAACGACATGCTCGTGTCCCGAATGGATCCCACTCAGGTCTGCACCGTTTCTGGTCTGTGCTGGAAACCCGACAACTCGGATATCGAACAGCGAGCCAGCGATATTTTCCTCCGCAAGTCAGCCCAAAATACCTGCACCACTTGCAAGACGAGCGTCAGTGATATGGTCGGAATCACCAAATTCGTGGACAAGGTTCGGGCGAAGATCAGTGTTTGTTATCGATCCACGATATTCTTGTGTTAGGTCGATCCTCAAGGAATCTCGAGTCTCCCCGGGGGCAGGAGGTTGCTGCGAGGGATTTTTCCCCCTTTATTCTTACTCGTGGCTCCTAAGGAGAAATCTCTCACTCCGCAGACTGGCGTCATTGAAGCTTTCAGCAACATCTGCCAAAATAGTGGATACGCCAAGCAGAGGGTGAGTGATATCGATTCGCCTCAAATTCATTTTCCTCGTTGTTGGGATGCCGGTCGCGGCCCCCCAGTAGTGACATGTTCTCTTCTCGCATGAAAATCGAGCAAGTCGTTTCCGATTTTTAGTGCGACGGATTCGCTCAGACCTACGTTGCCAAGTTCCTCCACCATTTCCATACAGCGGTGAGTTCAGGAGAAGATCACAGAGGATCAAAGAGATATACATGTATGAATGTTCGAATTACCACGGTCGACGTCATTGGAAACCCTTCGAATTCTGAATTAATTGTCGCGTTCTAGTCCTCCGAGAAGACCTGCCAGTTCTTCGGACGTTGTGACGGCATGAGGCGTCCCCTGCCTAAGGGTCCCACCGATACCCTGGAATGCGAATTCTGCGAAGCCATGATCCACAAAGTCGTCGTTCAATTCAACAACACCTCGGCGAAAGAGCAAGTCAAGACTGTGCTCGAGAATATCTGCAAGAAAACCGGCTCCTACGCCGAGGAGGTGGGTAGAGCCTTCATACTCATCGTGACCTTAATCTCTCTGAAGTCCAGATCTGGTCGGAATCGGAGAATCAAGTGCCGAAGAATCGAAATGGGAAATCGAGATGGGCACACATTCGATGTGGACATTTGGTTATTTTTTCGGAAGTCCGAGCTTACCCTCACTCATATGGCAGTCGGAGAGCGCGTCTCCGTTGTGAAACTAGGAAGTGACGGAGGCCCGTACCGGTGTCTTTTCTTCCGGAACCCTCAAGCCAGATAATGATGCAGATGTTGTGCCTAACTGGTCGAAGCTCCATCGACCGCACAGAGGAGCGGTGAAGATTAGCGGTTATCCGAAAAAGATCAACATTTTTCTGAGCTGGGTCGAGTCTCCTACGTCGCGTCGGTCGGCTTCGGCCATGGAGCTTGGCGTTCCTCGGGCTCTTATTCTGCTACGAAAGTGACGTTCATATTTTACGCTTTATCGTTCCAGTGCCAGCAGAGGATCGAGGATGACTTCGACAAGGCCTATGATGAGCTCATTTCCATGCTGGTGAGAATTTTTCCTTCGTTCACTCTCTTTCCACTCAATCCTTTCGACACCTCGGCCTTGTCTCTGTAGCTCTCCCGGCGTCGGTGGAGAATCCACCCGATCGATGCGCGAGTCCACGGACATGAGCCGGGGAGCACCGGCAAAAAAGGAGATGAAAGGAGAAAAATTGGAATATCCTTCCTCCCGTCGATCATCCTACCGAAGCTCTCTGAAATTCATTTCAGGACCCCGTCAATGTCTGTACGTTGGCCGGAATTTGCAACAGCAACCAGAGTGAGCGACTCCGATTAATATTAGTGACTTAATTCAGTCATTTATTCCGGAAAATGTCTCCGAATTAATACTTGAGTTGTCATCATCGAGATAAAATGATTAGGGTCGATTTCGAATCGGAGCTCTAAAATGTCCGACTCCCACCCATAGACGGGTAGTTCTATTTAGAAAGAATTCCTCGACTGGAACCACAAGCTCTCATCAGATTCCGCGAAACTCACCAACTCGACAGAGTGAAAACACATGCAAATTGTACCCCTTGCGAAACATATGCATGTATGAGTTGAAAGGTTTGGGGCCATGAGTGGATGCGAGCGATGCCACACCAGTAAACAAGCCTGAATGGACTTGGATGAAGGGAACTCTTTTCGCATCGTGCATTTTCATTGAGTTGCGAGCTCTCCCTCGACAGGACGCAGCTGTCGCACAGTCGAACGACACTGCAGCCTCGTCTCTGCGATACTCATGCGTATAGTTGTAGTCATAGACGTTTCGAACGATTTCGACGTAGTCCCGACGAATATTCGCTGAATGCTCCATCGCAGAAGAGCCGGGACTTCTATCCCGAATGGTACCGCTGGGCCCCTATCGCAGTCCCGACCGAACTCGGGCTTTTCCTCGACAGGAAACATGCACGAGAAGGAGAGAAGAGGGACAAAGAGATTAGAAATTCCTTGTCGACGGGTCGACGTCTCGAGCGAATGTACAACACAAGTCACGGGGTCAATCGATTTCTTTTTTTTTCGATTTGTCGCGATCCTTCACCAAACGTTCGAGTCGGTTTCCAGGTTTGAGGACGATTCCCATGATGAAGTTGACGCCGGCTAGACCCGCAGGTGAGTAAATGCATGCAAGGCGAGGCCTCCCGTACGTTTCGATGTTTGCTCGTCTAAGGAACCGGCGATGTCGCATGATCTGCGTAAAAAACGGCAGCTAACCGCATGCAATGAACCAGCAGCCCCTGGCTCAACGACGATGTGTACTGTTTGCCGAAACGTGGCCGGAGTTGTTCAGACGGCCGTCAACGCTAACTTCACCCAGGTAGCTCTCCGTTCCCCTCTAGAATTCGGATGTCATTCGCATTCATGACGACAGTCTAATCCACCGATCGACCGTTGCCGATGCAGAAATCCAGAGCATGTAATGAACACATGGTTTGTGAACTTTTCTAGAAAGAACTAATCAGCGCACTCGATCTCGTTTGCGACGTCCTCTCTGGAGCCAGCAAAGAGAACTGCTTCGATTTCGTGAACACAAACATCCCTCAACTGATCCAGATGTTCAACGAGCGCTTCACTGTAGATCACATTTGTTCCGAGAGTTTTAACTTCTGTCCAGCTGCGCTCGGTGGGTTTCAGTTTCCTTCTGCCTCTCCTTGTTCTTTCTTTTTGCGGCGACTCCGCGACGAGCGCTGGTTCCTCATCCATTCCCTTGAGCGCTCCCGTGGAAGCCGACTTTCCACTCGGCTTTTGTTGTGCTCGTTGGGCTTTTTTTCGTCGGTTGTTCTCCCTCGACACGGAAGACCCAAGATGCTTCTTATTGTTCATTCGACCGACTGACTTGCAGAGGAAACTTTCGGCGGAGAAGTCACCTGCCTTGCTTGTAAATTCGCGGTGGATTCTCTCAGACTGTACGTGAATAAGAGCGACTCTGATGAGGTATATAACGAACGTCGCATTCAGGGCCCTCGCTCGTCCAATCGGTCTGGCTGTCGGATTCGAACCGACCGTCAATGAGCCTGAGAACGTCCGCTCAAAAGTTCGTTCTCAACGCAGGAGATCCTAGAATCGTTTGTCGCAGACTTGTGTGGCCTGTTGCCGTTCGGTCATAGAAAGTGCATGAATTCAGTTGAGGAGAATTTCCCTCGATTTTTGACGCTCGTCCAAGACGGGCTGGATCCGGGACTGATCTGCGAAGAATTTCTCCATCTCTGCGTAGGACACAGCAATACTGACGGTATGGCTTCGCATGTCCCGCAGCTGAATCGCCTTCGTGCGCTTGCGTCGGCATCGTCGTTGTCGTCGTCGCTGGCTTGTTTCTTGACGAAAATCCTTCTTTCTGTTTCTCCGATCTTTAGAAAACTCCTTCTCGGACTATCTTATCATCGGTCAGTTTTCGGACGAGCCTTCGCAGAATTGCTCGGTTTGTCTGACAGCGATGTCGTGGGTGTTCCATTTCGCCAACGGTAGGAGGCACAGAGTAAGCTATATCGGGACGCCTTAGGGACGCAGCTTAGTGCGTAGGTAGATCGAACGGGTCGGAGTCTTTCCCGATTTTCGGGCGAGCGAACGGAGGGAAACGACTCGGGTGCCGCAAAGTAACCGCGGACTTTTGCAATTGTCTCCAGGTAGTGATAAAATTCGGCTTAGACGAGGTGTGCAACAAGTATCCGAACATTCTTGTCCAGTGCAAGCGATTCAAGGATATGTACAGCGCTCGAATTTTGGATCTCGTTGAAAAAGAGAATGTCACCACAGCTCCAGAGGTCTGTACTCGACTGAAACTGTGCCCCGAGACACTCAAACTCTTAGCTTTCACAGAACTCCGAGCACAATTCGACGAAGATAAGTGCCAGATCTGCGAAACCGCCATTTCTTGGGTGGCGTCGCAACTCAATGCCACCAGTACCGAGGTGCGTGGGACCTTGAGTGATTCTCGATGGTCGAGTTTTGGCGTCACGATCTTTTCCGATTCAATTGTCGGATTCGGCTGACCGATGGAGGGAGCTGACAGGTGTTATGTGATACTTCAGAACGACATCATCAGACGCGTTCAGGAGGTCTGCGACACCGACTTATTTCCACCGAAAATCCGAAATTCGTGCCGGAGCGAAGTCGAATCTTACGGCAGTCTGATCATACATTTGTTAGTGAATCGCATGGATCCGGAGCAGATCTGTCCAGAAATTCGTCTCTGTAAAACAGCTCGCGGTACGTGTCGTGCCAACCTGCTCGCTCGCTCCGTGGAATCGTCTCGTTCCCTTCATGTGGTCGTTGCAGTTTCGCCATCGTTGCTCATTGTGCGAGGGTTGCGAAACCATCACATCCATCCTCTCCGTCGCTCACCATTTCTCGAATTTTTAGCTACGAAACCCGTCGCTCAAGGCTCGGACCCGGTCTGCGATCAGTGCCAACATATCGCCGGTTATGTGGTCGCCTCCCTAAACGTGAGTATCGATTCGGAACGCGGCGATCACTGCGAAGATGTGGCCCCGCTGACTGAGTCAAATCCTTTGGCGTAGGAGGAGCCTTGAGCCAAGTACCCTAATTTCTCGCCGTCCCTAGGATGACCGCACCGAGGAGAACATCAAGAAAGTCCTCGATAAAACGTGTGAGATGGTCCCCGTGGACTACGGCTCATGCAAACAGCTCATCAACGACAACATCGACCGCTTGGTCCAGATTCTCCGTCAGGAAGTCACAGCCGACGAAATCTGTGAAGCTTTGAAAATGTGCAAGGCACGCCGAATACCGCCTCCTAGGACCCAACATGTCTCCAAGAGCTGCGGGCTCTGCTCAACCATCGTTGACTATCTTATCGAAAAGCTCAAGGTACCTAGTCAAGAACTGAAATCCCATTCCTTTGGGCACGTTCCCGTGCGCGAGAATATAGTAATATGATAATGGTATTATCCTATCGGGAGAGAACAAGTGCAGCATGAATCAATTCGTAAAGCCCACCTCAAAATCGACCTCTGAATCGATCAGGCTTTCGATTCCCTTATCAGAGAGCGTTTCCCGAAAGTGATCACGTGAATGATGATCAGAAATATTCCCGCCTATCCCCAAAATCAAGCCGAGAATACTTTCCAAAGGGTAATACCACCGATGCCGCCATCATCGACGCTCTCGAGAAGGTCTGCAAAGTTCTGCCGATGGAAGAGAAAAAGTGCCAAAACTTCATCGACGTGTACGGCTCTCTCGTCGTTTCATTGATTGAGCAAGAGTTAGCCGCCGACGCGATCTGTGCGGCCATTGGACTCTGCGGAGCCCCGAAACAGGTTGTCGAAGCCCCGAAAACGATCTGTGATGAATGCGAGCAGATTGCCGGCTACCTCGTCAACGCCGTCAACGTGAGTTCTGAGTGGACCCCCGCCGACAGCAAAATTCGAAATTGGGAGGAGGAAGAGTCTTTGAGTGAATTGCATTCCCTCTCCATCGTCAGGATAATCGTACTGAGGAAAATATCAAGGCCGTTCTCGAGAAGACGTGCGAAGCTTGTCCAGCGATCGCCAAATGCCAAGAGTTCATCGACAAAAACGTCGACAAACTCTTCGAGCTCCTCCGACAAGCCGTAACCGTGGATGAAATTTGTCAATCACTTGGTCTCTGCGCGACGCGTATCGTACCCGTCGCGGCTCTGACGAAACACGAGGTGAACTCCGAGAGTTGTGGACTCTGCAACACAGTTGTCAGCTATCTGATCGACGCACTCAAGGTTTGAACCTCCAGCAGATTCTGAATAATTCTCACTCGCCTTGCATCCCCTTGTCGCGTATAAGAATAGTGCCAACAGAGACCATTCCCTGAGCTTCCTGATCTCTAAATCGGGATTTCGAACGCCTCCTTTCAAGGACAACGCTACCGATGCCGCCGCGATCGACGCCCTCGAAAGAGTGTGCAAGGTACTCCCTTACGACCAGGCGAAATGCCGGAATGTCGTCGACGTGTACGGTGGATACATCATCGCTCTAATCCAACAAGATGTGGCTGCTGATGAGATCTGCTCCGCTCTCGGGCTTTGCGGTTCGCCGAAACGGGTGATGTCGGCTCCGGGGACTATCTGCGAAGAATGCGAGCAGATCGCCGGTTACATCGTCAACGCATTGAACGTGAGTTCGAATCGCCGAAATTTCACATAAGCTCCCAGGAAACGTTCGCCCGAAAGCTCAGCGGAGAGAAGGGCTTCAGTCAGACCCCGTGAATTCTCCATCCCCAGGACGATCATACCGAGGAAAATATCAAGTCTGTGCTCGAAAAGACCTGCGCAGCCTGTCCCGCAATCGAGAAGTGCCAAGAAATCATCGACAACAACGTGGACAAGCTTTTTGAGCTCCTTAGGGAAGAGGTCACCGTTGACAAAATTTGTCAAACGATTGGTCTCTGCGAATCCCGCAAACTCACTGTTGCAGCTCCGAAGACAACCTGTGACGAATGCGAGCAGATCGCCGGCTACATTGTCAACGCCTTGAATGTGAGTTCAGCTCACTGCTTAGTCTAGGTCTGGACGTGCACCACGTGCAGACTCCTTAGGAATTGAATATGTGAAGGATAGTGGTGTAGGACACTACAAGCTCTCGCACCCTCAACTCCCCAGGGCGATC